AGTGCCTGCCCCTGAAGGTGAGATGGGTTTCTTGCAGACAGCAAAGAGATGGATTTTGTTTCTTAATCCATTCCCTTAGGTAGGCAGGTATCTTAAAGGGCTGCTCATGGTTACTATTTCTTTCAGGTCTAGATAATTTTCATCTCTCTTTGTTTTCTTTTACCTCTTTAAGAAGAGTCTAGTTCAGACCCTGAGGTGGTCATCTGTGTTTCAGGAGGGCAGATTGTTGAACACACACATATCTCTAGTCTCGGGAGAAACCTCGAAGGCCAGGAAACTGCCTCCTGCCAGGTCTTCTATACCACAGCCTTTTCCATGTGAAGCATCACTGGTACAGTGTGCCACCCAGGCCTGCCTCTGGGGCCAAGTGTCTGCTCAGACCTCTTGCAGCTTACTTTTATTATGGTGTTTGGTTAAATGGTAAGAGTTCTTTATGTTCTTTTTCTTTTTGTAGATTAGAGGGGGTTTCGTTTTGTTTTGTTTCCTTTTTTATCTTGGTTTTCTGAGACATTAGTTTGTATTTTCTTGATCTTGACTCCTTGTAGCGGCCTGGCCTTCACTTGCAGTGTGACTGTCTTTCTTTACTGCGAATTCTAGCCCGAGTTTTCTGGCATTCTATAATCTGGCTCAGGTTGCTCTTTATTATTTCTTGTGTCATTTCCTGTTTATCTTTGCTCATTTTGAAATGGTGGGTGGGGGTTTGTTCTGCTCTGTAGAACTGGTTCTCAGAGACTGAGATTCCTCTCACTGTTTCAGTGAGTCCAGGACCTTTCTGTCATTCATTTTACATGAAAGTTGTTCTCCAGGATTTCAGGAAGACAGATCATAGCACCCTTTCTGACTGTATGGATCAGAAACACAGTGGCCTCCTTCTGGGAATTTCTAGGCTTTGCTTCCTGGTTTCTGTTGCCTTGTTTTGCTCAACCTTTCTCTGTAGCAACTATTTTTCCTAATACAGGCCCTGTTCAGAGGTAGCTGGTCTGGCAGCTCCTTAGACTGCATGGGACACCTGGTCTCCCTCACTGAAAAGGGGAACCCTTCCCTATGTTCACTATAGTCTCAGGGAAAATGGGATACCTGGGACCTCTTGTTCTCATATCTGTCAGATGCCCCAGTAATGAGTGATGCTCCCCCATAGACACAGACACCATATACTATTATACCTCAGGGGCTTGGTCCAATCCCTTGGCTTAAGGGCTTGAGATTCTCCTGAAGTTCTGGTTTTCATCTAGCTACTCTTGATGCCACTGCTGTCTTCCCAGAGTCCCTTAGAAAGGCTGTCATCCTGTCTCAAATCATCACAGATGGCTTGTGCACTATTGTTTGGTAAGAAGTCAGTGTCAATGTCATCCTTTGCCACAACTTTACTTTCTGGTTTTCTTCTTTTTTCTGATACTATAGAGCAGCGTGTCTACATATGGCTTTATTTGTATCCCTTGTTCAGATTTAGGGAACTGGTAAGTGAAGTATCTTTCCCTCGAGCTGGAAACCGTAAAGAAACAAGAGTCATATGGATGGAAGGGGAACACATGCTCTGGCACTGATGGATAGGAATCAATGAGTACATCAGAGATATGTGACTGCCACAGGTGTTACACTGTTTTCTCCCTGAGAAGCCAGCTCCCTCAGGGGCACGGTTTGCCTCCTGTTCAAGGATGAGTCTGCAGACAGAGCCAGTAGAGGAGTCTTCTGCTGGTGCCAGGCCCATGTCTGTCATCAACTTTTGCCTCCACATGGGGGTGTAGCTGTTCATGGATATCAGCTTTAGCCCCATAAAGGGAGACAAGTGTTGCCTTGACACCACTCACTGTCACCTTTGAATCTCTGACCTTTTTCTGGCTTCAGTTTAAACTATAATGGTCAAAGTGTGTGAGCATGACTATGTAATGCTGCCACTTTTCCTCCTTCAGGACTTCAGGAGTACGAAGCAGCTCTCTGGGGAGGCTGTGGAGCTGAAGCAGCACTTGGAGCACTATGACAAGAACCAGGAGCTCACCCAGATGCTGCAAGAGAGTCACAGGTCCCTGCCTGACTAGGGCACAGGGGGAGGCTGAGGCATGGGGTGAGGGACATAAAGAGCTAGCAGAACTTCTCAGGTATTGGTGTCTAAGACCCACATGCATCACCATGTTACTTAGAACATCTCTGAATATCTTGGTGAAAAATGAGGTATAATGATGACTCTGAGACATGGCACCTGTATAGACTGGGAAGTATGGCTCCTGAGATGTAGACCCTGAGGTAAGCACCCTGATATGTGGATCCTGAGATAAGCACCCTGAGGTGAACACACTGAGATATAGACACTGAAAGGAGCACCCTAAGGTACAGACTCTGAGCTAAGTACCCTGAAGTATAGACTCTGAAGTAAGCACCTTGAGGGATAGACAGGTGAGCACAGTGAGCTGTGGACCCTGAAATGAGAACCCTGATGTAAGCACCCTAAAATGTGGACCCTGGGATGAGCACACTGAGGTATAGATCCTGAGGTGAGCACCTTGAAGTATAAACTCTGAGGTGTGGACCCTGAAGTAAGAACCCTGAGGTGAGCACCCTAAGGTGTGGATCCTGAGGTATAGAACCTGAGTTGAATGCCTTGAGGTATGGACAACCTTGAGGTATGGCATCCTGAAGTGATGGTGAGGTGAGGTGAGGTGGTGAGATGAGGTGAGGTGAGGTGAGGTGAGGAGGTGAGGAGGTGAGGAGGTGAGGAGGTGAGGAGGTGAGGTGAGGAGGGGAGGAGGGGGGGAGGGGAGGGGAGGAGGGGAGGGGGGGAGGGGGGGAGGGGAGGAGGGGGGGGGGGGGGGAGGGGGGGGGGGGAGGGAGGGAGGGGGGGGGAGGGGGGGGGGGGAGGGAGGGAGGGGGGGGGAGGGGGGGGGGGGAGGGAGGGAGGGGGGGGGAGGGGGGGGGGGGAGGGAGGGAGGGGGGGGGAGGGGGGGGGGGGAGGGAGGGAGGGGGGGGGAGGGGGGGGGGGGAGGGAGGGAGGGGGGGGGAGGGGGGGGGGGGAGGGAGGGAGGGGGGGGGAGGGGGGGGGGGGAGGGAGGGAGGGGGGGGGAGGGGGGGGGGGGAGGGAGGGAGGGGGGGGGAGGGGGGGGGGGGAGGGAGGGAGGGGGGGGGAGGGGGGGGGGGGAGGGAGGGAGGGGGGGGGAGGGGGGGGGGGGAGGGAGGGAGGGGGGGGGAGGGGGGGGGGGGAGGGAGGGAGGGGGGGGGAGGGGGGGGGGGGAGGGAGGGAGGGGGGGGGAGGGGGGGGGGGGAGGGAGGGAGGGGGGGGGAGGGGGGGGGGGGAGGGAGGGAGGGGGGGGGAGGGGGGGGGGGGAGGGAGGGAGGGGGGGGGAGGGGGGGGGGGGAGGGAGGGAGGGGGGGGGAGGGGGGGGGGGGAGGGAGGGAGGGGGGGGGAGGGGGGGGGGGGAGGGAGGGAGGGGGGGGGAGGGGGGGGGGGGAGGGAGGGAGGGGGGGGGAGGGGGGGGGGGGAGGGAGGGAGGGGGGGGGAGGGGGGGGGGGGAGGGAGGGAGGGGGGGGGAGGGGGGGGGGGGAGGGAGGGAGGGGGGGGGAGGGGGGGGGGGGAGGGAGGGAGGGGGGGGGAGGGGGGGGGGGGAGGGAGGGAGGGGGGGGGAGGGGGGGGGGGGGGGGGGAGGGGAGGTGAGGGGGTGAGGAGGTGAGGTGAGGAGGTGAGGTGAGGAGGTGAGGAGGTGAGGTGAGGAGGTGAGGGGAGGAGGGGAGGAGGGGGGGGGAGGGGGGGGGGGGAGGGAGGGAGGGGGGGGGAGGGGGGGGGGGGAGGGAGGGAGGGGGGGGGAGGGGGGGGGGGGAGGGAGGGAGGGGGGGGGAGGGGGGGGGGGGAGGGAGGGAGGGGGGGGGAGGGGGGGGGGGGAGGGAGGGAGGGGGGGGGAGGGGGGGGGGGGAGGGAGGGAGGGGGGGGGAGGGGGGGGGGGGAGGGAGGGAGGGGGGGGGAGGGGGGGGGGGGAGGGAGGGAGGGGGGGGGAGGGGGGGGGGGGAGGGAGGGAGGGGGGGGGAGGGGGGGGGGGGAGGGAGGGAGGGGGGGGGAGGGGGGGGGGGGAGGGAGGGAGGGGGGGGGAGGGGGGGGGGGGAGGGAGGGAGGGGGGGGGAGGGGGGGGGGGGAGGGAGGGAGGGGGGGGGAGGGGGGGGGGGGAGGGAGGGAGGGGGGGGGAGGGGGGGGGGGGAGGGAGGGAGGGGGGGGGAGGGGGGGGGGGGAGGGAGGGAGGGGGGGGGAGGGGGGGGGGGGAGGGAGGGAGGGGGGGGGAGGGGGGGGGGGGAGGGAGGGAGGGGGGGGGAGGGGGGGGGGGGAGGGGAGGAGGGGAGGGGAGGAGGTGAGGAGGTGAGGAGGTGAGGTGAGGAGGTGAGGAGGTGAGGTAAGGTGAGATGAGGAGGTGATATGAGGAGGTGATATGAGGTGAGGTGAGGTGAGGTGAGCACCCTGAGGTATGGACCAGGAGGTGTGACCAGGGGATCTGATGGATAAGGGCATGTAAGCGATGGTGAGGTATGCATAGTACAGTGTCCTGTTCCCCTGGTTCATGGTTCCTGTGGCACATATTTGCCCATTCATTACAGTTCATGGAGATTCACTTAGAAATGTGGAGATTATACTTCAACTTCCTGCTGTATGATTAGTGACAAGGGGACTGGGAACATGGGGGTGGGCAAGGCAGAGCCTTACTTTTATTCAGACAAATATGTTTTTGCTGAGGGAAGAGAGGAAGTTTTCTCTGGGAAGGAGGCAAGCACTTGAATGATGGGGACAGATCACGAGGGGAGCTCTAGCTTCTGGCCCTCTAATGGGGAGGGCACACCTATAGTCGTTGCTCTCGATACCGCCCTTCCTCCTCTCTGACCCTTTCTTTCATTGCTTTACTGCTGGGTGACCACACTTTCCCCTGCATTTAGGGTCAAGCTAAGCCAAGCCTATCCTTTAAGGCTTTCCAGGCCACTGACCTCATGGGCCCATTATAGGCCTGGGTTACACTGGCGGAAGGGAAGGCTTTTGGCAGAAGAGACTGAGCTGAGACTCAGTAGAGAGGAATGGAAGGACCAGATCTGGGTCACTGTTAGGGGCCAGGACAGGGACAGGCAAGGCAGTACCCTGCAATCCAACAGGCACCTGTGGTACATCTAGTGGTGGTGGTTGTGTACCCAGCACCCTCACCTAGATGTGGGCAGGACAGGTACAGAACTCTAAGGACAGTGGATCATGCTTTTGCCCCTGGTGTGCATTCTGATGTTACTCAGAAGTTGTGTCTGTGATCTAAAAAGCCAGGGCCAGCTCTTGCTTAGTAGATTAGTCAGTGGGGCAGCCATCTGCAAAAGTGGCAGAGGTCAGTGTGGCTCTGCTTCATCTTGTGATATTGTAAACATCCTTCATCAGGGCCACCCGTGGAAATAGGGCAGTGTGTAAAAAATGTGCTAGTACCTCAGAATTCAACTTTCTACTCTGCTGTTGCCACATCACAATTAACCATGTATGACTGGAAATTAGAAACATTGTAGTGTGGGGCTTTTTAAGAGTCAGAATATGGTTTTGCTAGCCATAAGATTTTCATTGGCTTGTTACTGAACTGTGACATATCAAAGGAGCCATCTGCCATCTCTTCAGTTTATTCCCATTCTTGGCTCACAGTGGCTAGCCGTGCCTACAAGTGCTTACTCAAGCCAAGGGGTCAGGTTGGGTCCAGTGTAAGGTGTGGAAGGGCCAGACACAGGGAGAGCAGACAGTAAGTGGGAGGTAATGGGACCACGGGCAAGTGGTGGCCTTGGCACTGCTGTGAGTAAGAGAGCCTGGTCAGGGCCAGGGTCAGTGATGCCTTTGTGTTAGTGGACTTAGAGCCAGGCTGTGGCAGTAGTGGCAGCATTACGGAGGTACATCAGTAGGCAGGATGCTGGGAGGGTCTTAGTAGTTATCCCCTGATCATCTTCCAGCTCCCTGACCAATGAACACCTCCAGCAGGAGCTGAGCTGCACACGGGCACAACACAGGGCCGAGGTGCAGCAGATGCACTGGAGCTTCCAGGAGGTCAAGAAGACTGCTGCCCTGTTCCCACTCCACAGCACCCGACTCGGTGGCCGCCAGTCCTGCTAGTGCCCACTGCTGAGCCATGTTCTCCATCACTCGCAGCCCCAGGGTTGCACCTGCACGTCTGTTTATCTGAATATGCTGGTGAGACTTGTGATTACATTAAGATTCTCAAAATGTGTTCATGGCCTGAAATTTGGCTTGCTAAATGTGTCCTAAGTTGACAGGTGAACCCTGGACTTTGCCATGTAAGAACTAATATATTGTTATGAAAACTTAACTTTTTAAAATGACTCTTTATAAATTATAACTGACTTTTGCATTAAATTCTTCTGTGAAACATGCTACACACCCCCACAGTAGGTGAACAGGAAGAAATAAGTTCCAAAACTTAATAAAATACAGATGTGAGAAGCACTTTAAGAATTTGTTGTATGATGTTAGCTAGCGTGTCACAGCAAACTCTCCATGCCCTAGCTCCCCTTTTCCTTGCAATGTTTTCTGAAAAATTCATCAGAACAGAGCATAAAACTAAGGGGAGTTTTGTTGTTGTTATTGTTTAGAAATTATTCTTATATAATCCTTTTTAAAAAATTTGTGAGTGAGTGTGTGTGTGTGCGTGCGCGTGTGTGTGTGTGTGCATGCGTGCGCGCACTCCTGTGTATGTGCAGGTGTTCAGAGTCCAGAAGGCAATATTAATCCCTTGGAGTTGGAGTTACAGGTGTTTGTGAGCTGGCTGATGTAGGTGCAGAAGGCTCAAGCGCTGGAGGCCTCTGGGATGGTGTGGGCCTCACAAACCAAGATGGAGTATGAGTGGAAACCTGACGAGCAAGGGCTTCAGCAAATCCTGCAGCTGCTGAAGGAGTCCCAGTACCCAGACACCACCATCCAGAGGACTGTGCAACAATTCTAGAAACTGAAACAACTCAATCAATATCCAGATTTTAACAACTATTTGATTTTTGTTCTTACAAAATTAAAATCTGAAGATGAACCCACAAGATCACTGAGTGGTCTGATCTTGAAGAATAATGTGAAAGCACATTTTCAGAACTTTCCAAATGGTGTAACAGACTTTATTTAAAGTGAATGTTTAAATAATACTGGTGACTCCTCTCCTCTGATCAGAGCCACAGTTGGTATTTTAATTATAACCATAGCCTCCAAAGGAGAATTGCAGAATAGGCCTGATCTCTTACCAAAACTCTGTAGCCTGTTGGATTCTGAAGATTACAACACCCGTAAGGGAGCATTTGGAGCCCTTCAAGAAGATATGTGAAGATTCTGCAGAGATTTTAGATAGTGATGTTTTAGATCATCCTCTCAACATCATGAGTCCCAAATTTTTACAATTTTTCAAGCACAGTAGTCCCAAAATAAGGTCTCATGGTGTTGCATGTGTCGATCAGTTTATCATCAGTCGGACTCAAGCTCTGATGTCGCACAACGATTCGTTCATTGAGAATCTCTTTGCACTGGCTGGTGATGAAGAACCAGAGGTACGGAAAACGTGTGCCGGGCACTTGTGATGTTGCTTGAAGTTAGAATGGATCGCCTCCTTCCTCACATGCATAATATAGTGGAGTACATGCTACAGAGGACTCAAGACCAAGATGAAAATGTAGCTTTGGAAGCCTGTGAACTCCGGCTCACTTTGGCTGAGCAGCCACTATACAAAGATGTATTCATGAGGCATCTTCCTAAGGTGATTCCTGTTAGTGAATGGCATGAAGTACTCAGATAGAGATATTATCCTACTTAAGGTGATGTTAACGAAGATGAAACTATTCCTGATAGTGAGCAGGATATAAGGCCACGTTTTCATCATTCAAGGACAGTGGCTCTCTGATAGATCGGTAAGCACTTCTAAATGCTGAGCCATCTCCCAGCCCCCACGTATAATCCTTGCTGTGATTGGTAAAAACAAGGTAATTTTTTTCAATTACTATTTTATGTGTATGACTGTATTGTCTGCCTGTATGTAAGTGCGCCCATGTTGTACAATGCTCATGGAGGTCAGAAGAAGGCATCAGAACTGGAGTTATGGATGGTTGTTAACTGCCATGTGGGTGCTAGGAATTGAACCTGGTCCTCTGCAAAAACAGCCAGTGCTCTTAAGCACTAACCCAGATCTCCAGCCCCAAAACAAGGTAATTTTTAAAAAGTATTTAGTTAATTTAGCAAAAATAAGCAGACCTAAGAAGGTACTCTGTGCCAGCTTTATGGGGCTGTGTTACTCTTTTATTTAGATGAGGGGTGTGAGTGGCCTGTCCTCAGAGTACCCTTTCTGTTTCCTCCCTGTTTGGTCACGGTTGTGTCCTACACCACCAGTTTTTGTGACTTAGCTGGACAGTGTGTCACACCAGATTTAGTAATTTGCAGGGTGGGAATGAGGTTCTTCATTATCTGACCCTTCACTTACTTAAATGTGTTAGAAAATTTAGCATTTATCCATTTATGCTTGTAGAAATTGAGTTTTCTTTATCTTGTTTCGAGTTTCATATTTCCCATCAGATTTATAAAAGTTTTGGCCACAATTTCTTTTTAAAATTTATTTCTACTTGTTGACTTTTTAAATTACCAAGTGATAGGTTTCAGTGGAGCATTTTTGTACATACTTTGTTCTGGTTGGTCTCTTCCCTCCTCCTCTCCCCTGTGTCATCTCCCCACCCCCCACATATTTGCGCCCTTCACCCTTTCTAAGCCCGCTTTCTACTTTCATGTCTCGTGCATTCTACTGTCCTCCCCCTTTCCACACCCCCTTTTTCTTTTCTTTCTTTAGTGTATGTTGTATATACGTGTATATTGCACGTGAGTATGTAGTACACGTATGTGTGTGGAGGCCAGAGCAAGACCGTGTGTATCTTCTGTTGCTTTCTGCCGTATTGCCTTAAGACAGTCTCACTGAATGGGAAGCTCACCTCTGCTAGGCTGCTGGCCAACGAGCTCTTGGGATCCACCTGTCTGCACCTTCAAATAATGGGGTTGCAGGAACGCACAGCCATGCCTGGCTTTTCAATGTGGGTGCTAGGGATTCAAATTCGGCTGGGTCCTCATGCTTACAGGGTAAGCACTCTTACCCATTAAGTCTTCTCCCCAGTCCTCTCACACCCTTTCTTTAAGCCTCTTTTTCCCCTTCAGAGTCCCTTTTCTAGTTTTAGGACCTATATCCACATGCCATGTAAATACACATACATAAAGACTAACGGCTAGACTCCGTATATGGGGAGAGAGAACATGAAGGGTTTGTTTTTCTGAGCCTGGGTTGCTTTACTTCATCTAATACTTTACAGATCCATTCATTTTCCTGCATTTTTCTGTTCATTGTTCTTTATGACTGAATAAAATTTCATTTTTTATTATCTATTTATCTTTTGATGGACATCTAGGCTGATTCTACTTCCTTACTATTGTGAGTTTAGCAGCAAGAAACATGGGCGTGTAAGTATCTCTGTGGTAGGATATAGTCCTTTGGGTATATGCCCAAGAATGTTGTTACTGGATCATTTGATCGTTCTATTTTTAGTCGTTTGAGAAACCATGCCAATTTCCCCGGTGGTTGTACAGTCTACACCTCTACCAACAGTGAATACGGGCTCCCTTCTCCGCATCTTCACTAGCACTTGTTCCCGTTTTTCATGGCAGCCATCGTGTCTGGGGTGAGATAGAATTTGAAAATAGTTTTAATTTGCATTTCCCTGATGGCTAAGGATATTGAACACTTTAAAAGATATTTATTGGGGGCTGGAGAGATGGCTCAGCGGTTAAGAGCACTGGCCTCTGAAGACACCAGGCACACAGCTCTTGCATACATGCAGGCAAAACACTTATGCACATAAAATTCAGTCTTTAAAAAGTGACAGTGGGGCTGGAGAGATGGCTCAGTTATGTATGGTTGTTAGCTGCCATGTGGGTGCTGGGATTCAAGCCTGGATCTTCTGCAAGAACAGCCAGTGTCCTTAACTGCCAAGCCATCTCTCCAGTCCCTTAATAGGGAAGACTTCCTAAGAGGACTTTCAAACTATAATCTGGTCCTATGTATCAGCTTTTTTCAGGGGCGGGGTGTTATATAACAGATGACTGTTTATTCTGGGTTTTCTGAATGTTCCATGTCATCTTTTTTTGTATGTTTTTGTTGGCTTTTTATGCATTTCATATAAAACATTTTAATCATCTTTATACCCCCTCCTGTGTCCACACACCCCATATGCCCTCCACCGGATTTAATGCATTCTGTCATATATGCTAAGGCCTATGGAGTTGTGTGCCCAGATGTCCCTCAGTGCAGGTTCATCCACTGGAGTCTAGTCAGTCTATCAGAGTCTCTCCATTAAAGAAAATAAACTCTCCCTCACCCTGTAGTAATCAGATGCTAATAGTTCTTGGGCTAAGGTTGGGGCTTGCTGCCCATTTCCCTAGTTCTATGCTGTGGAATTTTTCTGTTTGAGTTTGCATGGGTCTTATGCATGCTCACACCATTGCTGTATGTAAGATCATATAAGCATGATCCTGAATACGAATTTTTAAAAGGCTTTTCCTTTCCTGTTTTTATTATGATATTGTGAAATACATATTAGGTCTTTGTTGGCTTCCTGACACACAGCTCCTAGATTCCTTAGACTCTTTGAAGCATGGTATCATTGTGTGCTAATGTGTTGACTTCTGGCAAACTCCAAGTAGCTTCACAATCGGGCTTGGCTACCAGGAAGATATAGGCAGGATCTGAGGGTGTCAGCATCACATCCCCAAGCTCCCAGAAGTAGAGAAAGATTAATGGTTAAATTGACACCCATGACCAGTGATTTAGTCAGTCATGCCTATGTAATATAGTGTCTTCAGGAAGACAAAAGGATAGAGCTCAGAGAACTTCGGAGGAGCCAAACATGGAGCTTTCTGGAGAGGGAGCCCCAGAGAAGGAATGGGAGTGTCATGCCTTCCCATGCCGCTTCCATCTATGGCCTTTGTAATGGGCTTAATAATAGCCCTGTAATTACCTTTCTAAGCTCTGAGAGCTACTTGAGCAAATTAATTGAACCTAAAGCAAACATTGAGGGAACTACAGACTATAGCCAATTAGTTAGAAATGGGAGAAATAATGTGGGCTAATGTGACCCTCTGAAGGTCAGAGGCAGTTTTAGGGACTGGGCCTTCAACATTGGAATCTGAACTTCCTCCAGGTAGACAGTGTCGGAATGATTTAGGGAGTGCCTGGCTATGTCTGCTGCAGAATTGCTTGCTTATTGGAGAACAGAGGTCACACATTTTGAGTTTGGTCACGAGTCATGAAGATATCCTGCTTGTTAACTTTCAAAAGATGCTATAATTTTGTCCATTTGGGGGTTTAGATACATATTCTATCTGGAGTGGATTTTTGTGCCTGTAATGATAATTAAGGGTCTAGTGTCATTGTTCTCCAAGTATATGCACAGTTGTCCAGCCCCAGGTTTCCCTGAAGATGCTTGCAACTCCAGTCTCAGTCTTTCCTGGACTAGTATTCTCTTTAGAGCATATCCTTCCGTCTTATGTGCAGGATGTCTGCCTGGCTTTAATCTTGCATTTCACAATTTGCCAAGCTTGACTTCTGAATGAGTAAATATAAATAAATCTATAATACTTCATACTTAGTAAGCACTATACAGGTCTTTGCTATAGTAGTAGTGATACGTAACAGCCCCGTGGACACTGTGCTATCTCCCTTCCACTCTTTTCTAGGAGAACATTTAAAGTTATAATCATCTCATCCCTTGATGTTTGGTGGAGCTTCTTGGTAAAGTCGCTTGGGCCTGGAACTTTCTTGGGGAGTTTATACTACTGATTCAGTTTGTTTTAGGATGTTGTGTAGTTCTCTGTTCTTATAGACAACCCAGCCTCCCCTGAGTTAGTCTTGGGCCAGGTAGTCAATAATCTTAGGCAACAGTATGTGAGAGCAATTCAGATATGTCCTAGTAGGACCAGGCAGAGAAGAGCCAGTTGCTAGGCCACTTCAGAGACTGCCTTCTGGTACCTTGGTCACCACCTCAGAAGGTCAGAAAGACTTTTCCTGTTGGAAAAGATCCCCTCATTGATTTAGGTGGAATTTGTGTGTGTAGCAGTGAGCTTTAAGTCTTACCTTTGAAGATTTGGGGCCCTGAGCTGTGTTCTACAGCTCTTTACCTTGAGTCAGGAATTATACATCTCTCCATTTCCGATTAAGTTTTTTTAAGTCATGTATGTCTAAGAACTGGTCCATATTGCCTTAATTTTCAGATTATTCTTGGCATAACGCTCAGAATCTTTTAGTATTTGAATGGCTTCAGCATTTGAAGTTATCCCACTGTGGCAGAGATGCAGGGACACTTGGGCTTCTTCAAACAAGGACTTGCTATCTGGGTGAGAAGACAGCCTCCGAGAGCCACTGGTGCTGCCTCATTTTCCACTACAGACATGCTCATCCCCCCAGCTCTAGCCAGCGCCCACACAGGCAGGCTCCGGGCCTGGCCTTCCCATCAGTGAGTCACGCTGAGGGGTGATCTCCACGCTGCTCTGGACTTTGTCAACTGTGCATCTAGTGATCAGGCTTCTTGTCTGTCCTTCATCTTCAGGTCACTCGCAGCATTGCACATTTGCTGAAATTACTCACGTATCTGGTTTAAAAGCCGTTTCAACAATTTTCCTGTTCTGGTTTCTCTTTGCTTTCTGCTGAGTTTAACTGCCATCTCATTTTGTACTGTCTGTTTTATTCTGAGGGGTTTTTCTGGTTCTAATATTGCCATTTTTGGATTGTATCTTTTATCTTCAGAATTTACACCCTTGCTAAACAGGAAATTGTGTATTTCATTTCTTCACCTGTCTAGTCAGCACTCTGGCCACCTTCAAAGTGACTCAAAGGCTGTGAGTACTGGCTACCCTGTGCTCCTTCATGCTTATGTTGACTGGTCCCAAGTATCTTAATGAAATATTTTTAGTATGACAAAGTATTTACATATTACAATGACTCTGAAGCCATTTTCCTGTTTATTCTCTTTGCTCTACTTTCTTCATGCCTAAGACACTTGTGATAACTTTCTGAATTTAGAATTTCTTTTTATGTCTACTGGTAGCAAATTCATCTTCCATTGCCTAAAAAGCCTTTGTTTTGTCCTCTTGAGATGCGACCTCATTGGGCTGGTATTTGAGGCTGGCATTGATTTACTCATCAGCCTGATGATGTGCCTGCCTTTGGGATGCTAGTTGTTTATAGTACAGTTTATAAGTGCTTTCCCTGAGGTCTGAACCTCACTCAAGGGCTGCATCAGAACCAGACTTGGCCTTGTACCTGACAGATGACTGGTCTACCTGCCCTTGTGAGGCAGAAGCAACAGCCTTGCCCAATCCAGGAAGCAGAAGGCCCTCTTGAGTGAAATCAACATTAGGCTCTCTGCTGGTGGGCTCTGATATAGGAAAGACTCTAGGTACCTGACCTATGTGTTAGTACCCAAGTGTGCTGGATAGCTTTAGTGTCAACTTGACACAGCTGGGTTGAGGGTGTCTCAGTTGGCTAATTACCTCTATTGGACTGGCCTGTGGCCATGTCTGTGGGGCATTTTCTTGATGAGTGATGTCAGAGAGCCCAGCCCACTGTGGGTGGTGCCACCCCTGGGCAGGTGGGCTTGTGCTGTATAAGAAGGCAGGCTGAGCAGGGGCCAGGGAGCAAGTCAGTAAGCAGTGTTCCTCCATGGCCTTCGTTCTAGCTCCTGACTCCAGGTTCCTGCCCTGAGTTCCTACCTTGGGCTCCCTGATGAACTGTGGCCTGGGAGATGTAAGACAAATAAACCCTTTCCCCCCAAGTTGGTAGTGGTCAGAGTGTTTTGTCACAGCAATGGAGAAACAAACTAAGACACCAAGTATCAAGGCCACCTGGGTAGAGGATGTGATAGCTAGTATAGACAGTGTGCATTTTGAAGAAAGCAGAAATCCGCGTTTTTAATGCCTTTATTCATCACTTTATCAACTTGACACACAATATTAATAACAGCAAACACAAGGAGCGAAATGTAGACAGACACAAACTGTTCCACTAAAGCGCTATGAGCCAGGCCATGACATTGAGTCCAACAGGTGACACGGTGCCTTGTACTTTGTACTCTGCAGGAGGGACAGCAGGCCCATCTACACCCCACAGACATTGTGGGCAAGTGTGGTTTAGACATCAGCATAAGTCCTTTTGGAGTTAGAACACCCATGACATCAACGTTACCCATCACACTGATAAAGTGATACACTTGGTACTCCCTAACATTAATAAAATAGTGTAAAAATATATATATAAACTTATTTCCCTTTCTTGAAAAAAACTTAGTACAAACTAGTAGTAGTAGCATATTATCCCTTTCAAGTTTTAGTTGTGCAAGCTTCCTTTGTTGTTTGGCTTGGTTTAGTGTAAGCAGTCTAAAGGAAAAGAGTTAATTTAAATATCCCAAGATGGCCACACCCCTGAACCATGGCGTTCAAAATGGTCAGTAGTATGTTGGTGGAGAAGAGCAGTTTGGCTCAGTGGAAGGATATTCTGCTGGCTAATACCTTCACAGTACAGCTACAGTGTTGCCTTTGCTGTACTGAGCGGGTGCTGGCAGGACTTCCCCATGCTTCTGTGCTGCAGCCAGGTAGTATACGATTCTGCAGAGGAAGAGAGCCAGGCAGGCAGACAGGCAGTTTTCCCTGACAAGGGATGGGTGGTAAATACCAAAGGTGTCTATGCCATGGCATCTGTCTCAACTCCTCCCAGCTCCAGTTGTAAAGCCAAAGCAGCTGCAGGCAGTATGTAAACATGGGTATGGCTGTGTGCCAGTAAACCTTTATTCACCAAAACAGGCAGGAATGGCAGCCCAGGGCCTCTGGGAGTGAAAGGTTGAGTCTTGGCCCAGGGTGGCTCTGGCCTGCCCAAGGTGAACCATCTTCCCCCAGGTGAGGGGCAGGGTAGCACAGACTACAGGTAAATGACAGAAGCTGCCGTGCAATCCATTTCAAAACTCTTTGCATCTGTCAATGTGTCCCTCTGCCCCAACTGTAAAACTAAGGATACTGACAGGTGTGAAAATACTCCAGTATAAATATAGATCTTTTCCACAATACTTTAAACATGGAATTTGAACTTTGATTTTGGTAAAGCTAACTGTTACCACTAACTAGCTGTTTATCTTACAGCATTAAATAGAAATAAATAAGTATTCTGCTAGGGTCAGTGTTCTCAAACACCCTCTTACCTACTTTCCCTGATATTTAAGAAACCATCTGCACTGTTCTCCCTGCAACCTATCCCTGTCTCCTGAGCATCATCCCCAACAAAATGTGTCCCTGAGTGTCACTCTGACAAAACGTGTTCCTGAGTTTCACCCATGACAAAACATGTCCATGAATGTCACCCCAACAAAACATGTCCCCGAGTATAACTCTCACAGAACGTGTCTGTGTTGCCCCCAACAGAACATGTCTGTGAGTGTCACCCCTGGCAGAATCTGTCCTTGTTTCCTGGCTGTCCTCCCCTAACAGAATGTGTCTCCATCTCCTGGAAGCAATCCCCTGAGAGAATCTGTCCCTATCTCCTGGGTGTCTGTCACCTAATAGCACATGGCCCTGGGTCTTGGTTTGCATGCTGTGCAGTTTCTTTATTCACAGACACTGAGTTCTATTTAGCCACAATTAGAAGAAGTTAATTGGCATCGCATAAAACATGCAACAAACACCCTACCTGTGTATTCATATCAGAAACTGACTGAGGGAAATGCACATCTGTATTGTGCAGCAAAGTTGGAGTCCAAGCAGTTTCTGCATTGAGAGGGTACATAGATGCCATGATGAATTTCACAGATATTTTAAATGGACAGTATGGGGACTCTTAATGATCTAGGTTTGTTACTACCCCTTCCTTGCTAGATGACCCAGATGAGAAGGAGGGTATGTTTTCAAAGTTAAATGTTACACTGACTGGAGAAGAGTGCTGTGTGAGGGAACCCTGGGGATAGTAGGACACAGTGGAGACCACTTTATGACATGTTACCCAAGGACCATATATGAGCAGTCCTGGGTCTGCCCTTCAGGAGCCCGTGGGCACTTAGGTTCTGGGCTAGGATAGGGAGAGCCTACAAAGCAGAGTGACTTGGTTTTCATTTACAAAGTCCAAGGTTTATTAGAGTGATCAGAAATACTTTCGGAAGTTTTCACCCTCTTCTGCTTAGGATCGTACCTTCAGGGGCTGAGATGACAGTGCTACCCCTTTGCTGCTCAGGACCTATGGGCTCACCTCTCTGAGCTACTCTGTATAATCCTGAGCACATGGGTGAGGTGACCAGTCTGTGATGAGACCTCTTCCCCATGATGCTGGGTGGTCCCCTGCAAGTGGGCACTTACATTGTTTCCTAGGTGCTCCTAGGCAGCCAGCCCTGGACTTGGCCTGCATCTTCATCTGGACATCATTCTGTCCTCTTGACTCTTTGAACAGGAGACAGTGTCTAAAGTCCTCAGATAACAAGGGGGCCAGGGGAATATCTGGCCTTCTGTGTGGTATGGGGATCCTTAGATACCATCCTATCCTGTCCTTCCCCTCTCCCTTGGCCTAGGAGCAGTCACCTCCTGATGGATTTATGTCTATGCCACATGACTTCAGTTGTGACAGTGAGGACTAGGCTGTTCACAGGCAGGAGAAAAAGCCTCGGAGCTCAACACTGCCAGTCACGTGGGAACTAGGGGTCCAGGGAGGATATGAAGCGTGCCAGGAGTCCTTTTGTTGCCCTAGACCAGTGAAGTGACATCCCAGAAGGGAGTCTCCACTACTTTGTCTTTAATGTCAGGCACTGCAAACTCCCAGGACCTCAGGAGGAAGCTGTCTACGGGGCCACCCCATCCTCCAGTTGAGACTGTTGAGGGGCTTGGTAACCCTGGACCTTCAGAGAACCTGTTGGCTGGGAGCACTGGTACTGAGGCCCCTGTTCTTCTCAGTTGGGCTAGTAGACAGTCTTCCCTGGGACTGTAGCAGTGGCCAAGAATGCTCTCCAGACTCAGTAGGGGTGGATGAGGTGGATGTCCGCAGCAGTAAGGAAGGCAGCCTTGCTGTGCCAAGCCATGTAAGACGCCCCAACCTAAACTGTCATCTGCCCTGGGAAACATCTCCTAAGGCCACTGTGTGTTCTTTCTAGGATCAACTCCAGGACCACACAGTTCAGCAGGTCACATGCAAGGTTGGGGCTATGTTCATGCAAAGGAACAATTGCTGTGGGGTTATTGCAACAATGGTGGCACATGCCTCTGGGCCTGTCAAGGTCGATGCAGGCGCAGTGCTGAAGCAGCCCCACTGAGTGGTGCCCTCACGCATGGATGAGCGGAGTCCGGTGCACGTGACTGTCTATGGCAGAAAAGAAATGGTAGCAGATGTTGCAAGTCCTCCCTGGGCCTGGTTCTAGTGTCTGGTGACCAGTACTCCAGAGAAGTTAGGGAAGCCAATCACAGAGGATGCTTCAGAAAAGTGAAGACAAACAGCTTGTGAGCAAAACATAGTACAGCTTGCCCTGGCAGAAGCCCCCATCCCACGCTGGTGAAACAATTGCCCAGGCCTGGTCTAGACCAAGTATCTCAGCATCATATATGTGTCTAACTTAGTGATGGAACGGGGCAGGGAGGAAGTCATAGCAACTGGACATTCTGGATCTTCCTGGATCACTCTTGAAACCAAGCACATAATCACCTCTTCTTGTTACTTCTTAAAACAGCACTGAAAACACTTCCAGCTTCACACTCTGATTCCTCTGGTCGCCAGTGAGCTTCCATTGTCTCTTGGCTGCCCTCAGAACAGACTTGGCTGATGAGTGTGTATGCGCATCCATGTATGCACGTGTGCTGATGTTACCTGTTCCCCACATGCACCAACATGGCCACAATGTAGCCTCAGTCATGCCTTCTGCTCAGAAAAGATGAAGGGACCTGTTTAGGGTTAATCTGTTCTATCTGTGCAGTTAGTTCCTTAACTTTTGTTTGCCCTGGAGGCTCCTAAAAAGAGGTCAGGGTGGCCTCTGATGGTCCACACTGCTCATCCTCACACCTACCAATTACCAAAACACCCCCTTTACCTGCAGACCAAGTGGCCAGTGTGGTTTGATCCTGGGAGACAGTTTGGAAACAGCAGTCCACTTCCCAACTGGACAGGGTAGGCATGTTAGCAAAGGACAATGAATCAGGGCCCAAACCTGGGGTCTGAGAGAGAAGTATCAGAGCACCCAGCAGGAGGAGGCCTGGATGTCACCCCTGCTGTCGCCTGGTGGAGGTGAGCTTTGAGTTCTGCCCAGTTGAGCACAGGAATGTAATGAAGTGTGACGGGTATGAGTCCTGCACCTGGCACCTGCAGCGTCCAGGGCTTCAGCCTCCAAGATTACTTGCTCCCCTGGACCTTCTGGTCATAGGTGCCTGCATGCTTGTAGCCAGGCACATAGCCTGACTCATCCACCAGGTCCACACGGCCAGCCTTGCCTTTGCCTTTGCCTGATGGGTCGAATCGCTCTTTGTGGGAGCCCGTGAACTTGGTCGTGTCTGTGAGCCGTGACACAGTGGGTGAGGACACAGCTTTCTGCGAGAGAGTAGAGGAAATGAATGTTACCCTCAAGTCAGTTGGAGCTGGCTGAGGACTGCTACCATCTCTGAAAGCATTTTATTGGGAGGTGACTGGGGCTGGGAGGAACTAGCAAGGGGTGTGAAGCTGCTAGGCCATATATCCAGACATGGGGTCTGCCTCTTCTAGCCCCAGGCCAGCCCCAGTTCTCTAAATCTACTCAGCTGCGCCATCCCTCAGAGACTGCTGGGCCATGGCCTCGACAAGGGCAGGGGCAATAAAGAAAACTAAGCCATGCACCTGACCCAGCCCCCTCACCGTGACTCCAGAGATGACGGGTGAGCGGCCCTCAATGAGCCGGTGCACCTCACGCACAGCCTCCTCGCTGCTCTTGTCCTTGAACCGCTTCTTGGCCAGCTCCTCCAGTGCCTCCTGGAATTGCTCGAAGGTGATGGTCCTGCAGGACTTCCCTCTGCAGGCAGGAGTACCAGGGGCTTATAAGTCATCTAGCAGAGGCTCTCGGACCAACCCCACACATGTCCCATTTCATCCTGCATTCTGCAGTGACCCCTACAGGCCACAGCTGTGGGTGCAACTGTCAACCGCCTAGAAAAGCCTTTAAGAAAGAACTGCTGGTACACACTGACATGGTGGCGCACACCTTTGATCCCAACACTTGGGAGGCAGAGGCAGGTGGATCGCTGTGAGACCGAGGCCAGCCTAGTCTATGTAGTGAGTTCCAGGCCAACTGGCGCCATAGGATACCCTGTCTAAAAAAATAAAAAACAGCTGGTGATGTCAACATAGTCCTAGCTGTTCCATAATAAGCAGTGTGCCTCCCCTCGAGGATGAGGGCAGAGGAAAACCTAGGGAGAAGGGAAAAGATCCCCTAGTTTTCAGGGACACTATAGCTAGTCTAGGAGCAGGGAGGAGCCCAGGCCTATGGTGGAGTTAGTCAGTGAGGGGCCTGAGGCTATGGTTAGCACAATGGCCAAAATTAGGAGAGGCCATTTCCCCTGCCCTCAATTAGGGTCCTAAGTGTGAGTAGCCCTAGGTAGTCTGGCTACCACAGAGCATCCCAAACATCTTGCCATTTCACAAAATCCTCACTCCAAAGGTTGTTCCGTTTCAAAAATGTTCTGAGGTTGTTCCTTATTTGTTGTAACTTTACTTAATATTTTTCATTTGCCCAACTAATCAAAATTAGTGAAGTTTTCAATGTTCTGACACACGGTATAGATGAGCCACAAGTCAGCAGGTCCTCCATGTTGCCGAGGAGTTCTAGTTAAATCAGGTGTGAGATAAGCTGCCCCTCATGACCAGGCATGCCACTGACCCCACAGTCTCAGAGTGTTAAGGGTCCAGGACTTGAAAAGAGCTGACTGAACAGAATCCCAGCAGGGTTTTGATAGTCTTCCTTCAGCAGAGAATTCAGCGTAGCCAACACGTGTGTCTGAGAAAACCAAGTCAGAGAGACCTGAGGCTACACAGTTCTAAGATGCCCTGTAAAGTCTCATGGAGACTGCAGGAAAGGGTCTAACAAAGGCTCGGACATACCGATTAATGAGTCTGGAGCCCAGAAATGCCCACACGGGCAACTAACTTGTACAAGGTGCAGAGGTAAGTCAGGAAGAAAGGATCATTTCAACAAACAGAAGAACTGCTCCCTCTGCAAAATGAACTGACCAGTATCCACAGTTCATACCCACAGAGAACTCAGAGCATGATCCCAGAACCTGTGTGCCCTGTGGTAGGCAAAGGTGTTCCTAGAAATGATGCCAAAACATGCTCTATAATAGAAAAATGAGCAGACTAGACATCAGAACTTTTTATGTGTATGAGTGTATTGCTTGCATGTATGTAAGTGCACCCATGTCATGCAATGCCCTTGGAGATCAGAAGAGGGCATTGGATCTCCTGGAACTGGAGTTACGGATGGTTGTTAGCTGCCATGTGGGTGCTGGAACTCAAACTCTGGTCCTCTGGCAAGAGCAGTCAGTGCTCTTAACCACTGAGCCATCTCTCAGCCCCTTCATCAGAATTTTAAAAGCCATGGTGTATGACACTAAGGAGAAAGAAACACCACAGATCTGCACAAAACATTTTAACTCACAAACTTGAAAAGGGGATTGTATCTGAAACACGCAAAGAAGTTAATATGTAAGAAAAGAAATTTTTAAATGGGCCAAGTATTTGGACCAGACACTTCACCCAAAAAACTCGATGGCTGGGAAACCAGCACACGCAGGAAGTTCACCCATATGGACAGCGGAAGTACTGAGGGAATACAGACTACTGCATGCTGGGGAGGACAGACCATGGGCCAGGCTTCCTGGGGCAATGCCTCAAGAGAAATGAAGATGTAAGCCCATATAAACTCATCTGTAAATATTAGACTTTCTTCAGTCATCAAGCCTGAAAACCACCCAAACATCCTTCAACAGTGACCAGATAAGTGTGCTATGGACAGCAGTATAAGGGTATGCCAGTAACAACACAATGCCAAAGTGGACCCCTAGAGACTGGGCTGAGGAGCCAGACATGAAGACACCACGATGTGGTTCCCACAAACCCTGCACTTTGATGCCTGGAAAAGTCTAACAGTTTGCACTGTCCTAAAAATGGGGTATTCTGAAGGACGACTCCATGGCCATGAGAGCTGAATCAAACATTCCTTAGGGAACTAAAAGGATCCCATGCTGAGGTCCTCCCTACCTCTCCAGGGATTGGGGAAACCGCTGAAGCCTCACATTTATGTCAAGGGCACAACATGGGAGCCAGAGCCCCACAGTGGGATGTATGATCCCAGTACATTGTAGAACTGACTGTGATACGGGTGATGGAGGATCAGTGTTTTAGGGGTGGGTTCCCTAAATACTCTCAGCCCCAATACTCATCAGCTACCTCTTAGATGCTAGGTGAACCAGGCCACTGGAGTAGCTTGGCCCCACAGCCCAGTGGTGCCTGGAGCTGACAGCTTTCTCCTCCCTCCTGGACCCTAGGGATGTGTTGATCCAAGGCCCCTCAGGGCCACTCTGTTTGTACTGGGATGTCAAAGGCACTCTTGTCTCTTACTCCCAGCCCTGCCTGGGATGACATGAGGATGCCAGGCCTAGTGGCCAGCCTGGCAACCACTGCTGGGGCACACAGCTCTTTCTGGGCAGCCCCGGCACCAGGCACCACCAGCATGAGTCACTGGGGGATGGGATAACTGGCGGGGCTCCCCCATCACAGGCCACATTCAGATGGAGCTGGATTCCTGTTCCACTGGTACCAAGAAACCGTTTCTGTCCCATGTCTCTGCAAGCCCCACAGAGTTGCTGGGAAGAGGGAGCCCCGGTCTTAGTGATCCCAACTCCCTGGGAGCTCTCCCAGGGAGACCCAGGCACTTCTTTGAAGCAGCATCTCCAACAAGTTCTGTGAAGACAATGCCCACGTCTTCCCCAGAGATGTGTAACCCTCTCCAGGGCTCTCCTGACACAGTGAGCTTGCTTGTTTTCTAGATCCCTCAGGACTGGAGCCATCTCCAGAGCTTGAGCCTTCCCTCCCTTTGGCTCCTGGACTGCCCAAAGCTGGCCTATAGGCTGGGGTCTTTGCCCACATGTACTCAAGCAGCCTGGGGTTGCTTCCCAGCTCCTGTTACCATGTGGGTAGAACATCTGCTTATTCTCTAGGGAACTCTGGGACCTGGCCAAGGGTGTCAGGAGCCAGCCTTGGGTAGCAAAGCCCTCTGAAAAATGTCTGCTCCTCCATGACCAATGCCACAAACACTATCACTCTCTACCCTAGTTTTAGGCTTTCACAGAGCCCCTAGTCCTGCTCATCCAGTGCCTTTGTGAAGTGAACAATGCCAAGGGCTGGGTGATCAGATACCTCCTAAATGATGGTGGTAGGCAGGATAAAACAAGGCTGCAGGCATTTTCTAGTTCCTGGGATTTACAGAAACTGTGTCTCCTGTAATAACCACCAGGGAGCAGCCTTGCCAGCCAGATGCCACTACAGGCAGAGCAGGGGCTTCTGAGGGGTGAACCCTGTATACCCTGTATACCAAGAACCCTGTATAAGAGCCACTCCCTATGCATGTGGGGGTCAGAGAACATGAGGTGCTATGGTAGCTACAGGGCCTGAGAGGAACCCCTGGGCAGTGATGAGCTCTAGACAAGGCTGCTGCCTGGCAGGGTTACTGCCTCATAGGAAGCCCTTCTGGAGGCCTTTGTAGAGACAATGCAAGAGCTGGCCCTGTGTCTGCTGGACCCCTGAGCAGCCTCAGCTAGCATGGTTCAAGTTGCTTGTCTCTTCCAGTGACTCTGACTCCTTACTGTGTTTAAGGGAGCTACAGTGGTCTAGTCACTCTCCTCAGACACTAGCTCCTCTTGTTTCTTCCCCAGGACAATCTCATGCCCACTGATTCCCCATTTCCCCCAAGACCCAGCCCTGAGCTCTAGGCCAAAGAGAGTATTGATGCTGAAAATATAGGCCTGCCAGTTCTCTGCACCCCCAACAGGCCACTGGACTCAAGAAACCACGGGCAAATGAGTTGCCCTCTGCCTAGAAGGAACTAGATGTCAGTCAGCCATGAGGACTCTCCTCATGTCAGGAAATCTGAGACCAAGCAGCAACCCTGCTATGGCCTTGTTCTGGGCAATGTCAGCTGTCTGTCTACCATTAGTCACCAGCCAGCAGAGGAGATACTTGTGACCCACAGCATTGCTGTTCCGCTGATGGGGATAAATCACCCTTAAAGCTCCTTCTCCCTCCTCGTATATTCTACAAGGAACCTGAGGTTGGGGGACAAACCTCCTCCAGATGACCCCCAATCGCCACTACCTCTTCCCACCACCCACCTCCTCACTGCTCTGACCTGAGCCATAACATAGGCATTGCTGAGATCATTCAGAAAAGTTCTGGATGTTTGGGGAAACTTGTTCTCTTACATGGCCTGCATGCACTGGCCAGCCGACTTCCCAAAGCAAAGTTGGGGAACTGAGGAGCAGCGGGGAGATGGACGGACGCCTGTCACAACAATGACCTGATTCCCACCCGGTTGCTGCAGACACACCAGAGCCTCGACCACAAAGCCAATGGCTACAAACCAGTCAGTGACCTTCAAACATAACACATGTTCCACAGGTCCCCCACCAGAGCTAAGGACCCTTGAGTTTCCCTGAAGGCTTCTGAGGGTCACCTGCACTCCCATATGTAGCCACTAGAGGGCCACCCAGAGGCGGGGATAGCAGCAGGGCTCCAACCACTGTGACACCTGGGGACTGGGGCACATGCTGGATCTTACCCCACTCAAGGTCTCTAGGGCCAGGCCACTCTCTCTTGGAGCATGTGACTGTCAGCTTCACCCCAAGCCCAAGAAGTAGCATCTGGGGAAGAGAAGCTCAAAGCACTAGTGTACCCTGAGTGAGCAGGGCTGGGTAGGCCCCAAGCTAGGAACACAGGCTGCCCCCCAGGGTCCTAACAGGT